AATCAGGCAATGCACAAAGTATAAAAACATCTGGATGTTTGCAATCCAACAATAAGTTGATAAAAGCTTCCAGATATGCATTTACAGTTACAGACATAAGATTAAAGGACGTGTAAAGACAGAGAAGACAGTCTTAAAGAAAAAAAAACCTAGCGTGCAGAGAAGTAACAGCTAAATCTGTACATGCAGTCACATCCAGAGCGACACTGATTCCCTGCTAAAATTCTCCCTTTAATTTATTGATCACAGAAATTGAAAACCAGTCTGAATCTTCTGCACAGCTCCCGAAACAAGCAGAGGTGATTGATTTTCAGCACTCACTCTAACCTTATTGTTATTGGCTTTGCCTCTAGCCATTTTTCTGTTTATTGTGCCGGTGCTGCTGTAATGATGACGATAATAAAGGTGCCCCAGCTGAAGCCATTTAAACACACACAGACAGCGAAGATTCACACACTCAGACATATCAGAGATCCATGTTAGTAACGGCGAGGGTAATGACTTTGTGTCTGCTTGAGAGACACGAGGAAGCAGGAGTGTGTGCGCATGTGCATATCTGCGTGAACAATCTTGACCAAACTCATCATTCAAACAGGTTTTTTTTTGTTTTTTCAGATGCCACTTTTTCTTCTGGATCTCATTCCATTTTCAATTTACATGAGTGAACTAAACTACACAGAACATGCGCGCACACACATACACCCACGTTGCGACTGTATGACAACTCCATCCGGTCTGGTCTGTCAGACTCTTTGTCCACTCGTCACCACACAGCGTTCTTAGTTTTAGAGCTCTTTGGCTGTCTGTGGCTAATGGGCTGTGCCCTCTTCCTCACTCAAGCACAGGAGTCTTTAATGCACTATTTCAGTCAAGGGGAACATTTCCATTATTCTACACACATTGCACTGTGCACGTGCTGAAGCATCAGCCACCCCGCACTTATGCAGTCACCACCAACATTCAACCCTTCATTCTGGCCTCTTGTCATTAGACTGACCCACTATGGGTCAGTCGGTGTGTATCTCCTGGTCTGTCAAATCTGAAATGACTCTGGGTTCCTGGCTCCTATTTTATTTGATGAACGGTTGTCGTATAACACCATGTGTAGCAGACCAGGAATGTGAAAGGAATACGTTTAGCCCATTTCCCTTCTGTCCACAATGTATCCATTTCTTTAAACCTTTCCTGAGTGCTTGTGGCCTTGTTTCTGCATCCTGGTCAAGCTTTATGTGACTGTATATAAAAATGCTATGATGTCTATATTTAACATGAATGATAAATAACCTGTGGTGTCTGTGATAATGGCACATGCACACGTATCCCCGGTGGTACAACCTGAAAGGCCTTAGTGATGTAAAATCATCATTTTATAGCTTTCCTGACATATCTGATACAGGCCACCTTTCACATTGATCACATGATTAGTACATTATTCAGAAAACACAAAATAGCTCTAAACAAGTCTCCTGTTTCCTTCCTCTTCCGCTCTCAGACATCCCAGACCAGGTGATTCGGGTGTTCAAGGCCGACCAGCAGAGCTGTTACATCATCATCAGTAAGGACACTACAGCCAAGGATGTGGTCACACACACAGTCAATGAATTTGGCCTCCTCGCAGCACCCGAGACCTACTCCCTGTGTGAGGTGTCAGTTAGCTCAGAGGGGGTTATAAAACAGCGCCGTCTGCCCGACCAGCTCTCCAAACTAGCTGATCGGATTCAGCTCAATGGCAGGTACGACCAGTTACTCTGGTATCAAATGGCACTTAAACAAAATGGTTAACTTTAAAGTTTGTTTGATTGTGTTACAGGATACAGGAGTTGTAGAGGTGTGAACAACCAATATCTATAGATACTTCTCGATTATGGATAACAAAAAGTATTGACAGATACATTATCCTGGTGACTTTACTGACTTACTGACACCCACTGTCATGTTTTTACAAATACTGCTTTGTGCAGTGTCAGCAGGACGTACATGTAGTACTGTGTGTATTCAGCAGTAGTTTGCAGTAGTCGTCCATATCAGGAGCAGTGGTCAGATATGTGTTGGCTGTGCTTCTCTCCACGTGTCTCTGCTCCTCCGTCTCTGCATCTGATGATGAACAGGAGGTCTGACAGGGGCACATCTGCTCCACTTGCCAAAATAAAGACACAGCTAGTGGATCCTCAGCTCAGCACACACACTGATACACACACACACCGACCACCAAAGACTATTTACAATGGCTCGGTTCCAGTGACTTCACCTCGCCCACTTCTACTTTGCACCACTTTATCCATCATTAATTTAATCTCCTCTCCTTTCCTCTCTTCTTCTGTCCTCTACTCTCCCCTCCTCATCTCCTCTTGTCTCCTGTCCTTTTTTGTTTTGTCTTGTCTCCTCTTGTCACTTATTTTTTAATTTGCTCTCCTTTTGCCTTGAGTCTTTTCCTTTTATGTCCACTTCTCTAGACTACTTACATCTCATGTCCTCTCCTTGGCTCCTTCTCTCTCTTCTCCTCTCCCCTTGTCTTGTCTTCTTTCCTCTTGATTTCTCTCCTTGTCTTATCTTTTCTCCTCTTGTCTCCTTTCAACTCGCCTCTCCTCTTATCTCTTCTCCTTTCCTGTTACTAGTTGCGAAACTGACTTCTTTTTTTATCTCTTTCAGTCTCTACTTTTTTGGCGTCTGCAGGTTCTTCCAGTCCTAAAATGTGTTGTATCTGTAAATACAGCCGCCTGAGTTTTTGGCTCTAATTTTGAGTTCTTAAACATTCTTCGACTTCTTTCTGAATGTCAGATGTGTCCTGTGATTTCTCCCAAATGTCAATTCAAGCTGATTTTCTCACCTCACATCTCCTCTTGTTAGCTGCTGCTCTCTGCAGCTCGTCTGGACGTGTAGCAGAGGGCAATTTACAGTCGCATCCCTGCCAACAAATTGCCCTTGAGGGTCGTAGGTCTATAGTGCTTTCAGGTGCTGCTTTCCTGGATGACCACTTTACAACTGCATTAGTGTGGAGGTGGGGGTGTGAGGGTTTTAGATTTATAAACAGAGAAGCACATAACGAGGTAGGAAAGATGGCCTGCTGCTGGAAGCTGTCCCAGAAAACTGTTGGAGATTTAGCCCCTAACCCTAAAGGCAAATGGCCCTTTTCTTCCTCTCACTCAAGCACCTGTCATCATTATTATCTTTTTTTATCATCTATATTATCTTTTATATTTTTGCTTAGAAGCCCCCTCTCCTCTCTCACTTTGTATTTCTCCTTCGTTACACCAGCATATAGTGTGAATATGGCCATACCATCAGAGAATCCTTTCCTTTTTCTCAAACTAAGTTGGAGATGGGAAATGTGTCCATTTAAACTGAAATGTAAATGAGAGGAACATTTAAAAGATGTAACTTTACTCCTCTGTAAAACGTTTCTGAGGCGTTAAACCAAACCAAGAGAAGTATTCTTGCTTGATGCTTCAGCTAAACTTTCCCTCTGCTGTCTGCCCTGTAGATACTACCTGAAGAACAACATGGAGACGGAGACGCTGTGTTCAGACGAGGACGCCCAGGACCTCCTGAGAGAGAGTCAGATCTCTCTGCTGCAGCTCAGCACCATGGAGGTTGCTGCCCAGCTTTCCATGAGAGACTTCGAGCTCTTCAGGAACATTGAGTCCACGGAGTATGTCGTTCTTTGATATTTTAACGAATTAAAAACTTGTATAATACAAATTCTTAAGGCCGTGATAACTTTATTTGTATGTCAGTTAAAAAGCTCATTTATAGTCACAATAAAAAATAAAGAAAAGAAGATCTGCTAGTGGTATTATGCTTTAGCATAATATTACATTGTTACAGAAGTGTTACAAAAATCACTATTAACCTAAACCGATGAAACCTTTTGTTGTACACTATTTTAATCTCTTTGTCATGGTTCTCAGGTATGTGGACGACTTGTTTAAGCTGGATCCCTCCTCAGGAAGTAGCAATCTAAAGCAGTTTGAGGAGGTGATAAACCAGGAGACCTTCTGGGTCGCCACAGAGATCTTGAAGGAGCCCAACGCCCTGAAGAGGATGAAAACCATCAAACACTTCATCAAGATTGCCCTGCACTGCAGAGAGTGCAAGAACTTTAACTCCATGTTCGCTATTATCAGGTGTGCTCAGTGTGTGTGTGTGTGTGTGTGTGTGTGTGGCTTCCTGAATTAAGTGGTGACACATTGTTTCGTCATTTTCCTCATTTCACCTCATGTGTAATATAGTAGTAACATCAAAGCCAAAGTTGTTATTATGACAGCTAACACTGGCTCCGTCTCCTTCAGCTTTGGTCACGTCTCCTTCCCCACAATCTCAGGAGGTCCAGCCTCACCCCCACCGCTCTCCCTCCTCCTCCCGCCAACTCAGTCAATCAGCCCTGATTCTCCCAAACCAAACAGACTCTGCCTCTGCAGCCTCACAGCGTTTAAAACATGAGTCCCATAGCAACAGTTACACTCCTTGTTGGTTGCTGTTGTTTTCCCTCAGGCCTCTGTGATTTGGCTCTAGATGGCTGTTACACTGAGCAGAGGGTATATGTAAATGTGGCCCTGTTAAAACAGGTCAAGTACACCTGAGGGAAGGCATCCCTGATTTAGTTTTTATGCAGATGGAACCATATTTTTACAATAACGCCGTCTCACTCCAGCAGGTCCTACACCTGGTTTTTATTGATCCTAAAGTAGTATTGCATAACAAAAATACAAGAGACTAAACAAACTAAAAACTATTAGTCTTTTAAGTTTACAGTACAAGTAATCTTAGAGGAGATTTCTTACACTGTGACTGCAGCATAAATTTAAGTGTAAATGCACAACAAAGTAGTTCTATAGCAACTATCACTGTAGATGTAATAAAATTTTGATATAGAAAATATAATGCAGTGTTCCTGCTGGTAACATTCAAACGCTCAATCAGTTATTTAATCGATCAGAGTTGAAAGAGCTCTGATCGCTGCTGCTGTAAAAGGGACTTTAGAACCGAAATGTCTGAGCTTCACGTCTCTTTACAACCCTCTTCACAGCCAGATCTCTTTGCACATATTGCTCTCTGATGCGTAACCTGCCCGGGGATGGGGGGCATTGCTGTGTGTGCGTGTATCAGAAAGAGAACATGCCCATAACATTTTACAGTGGAGGCACCTGTGTCAGTTTGTCTAAAATAAAGATAATTCATGCTGGAGACACCAGATTTTATGGACGTGTTTGGATTGTCATGTTTAAAAATAAGGCAAAGTGAAAAGTATTAGATGTAATATGTGATGAGAGAGAGGTCTATAGGATAAGAAAAACCCCAACCTGTTGACTTGGTATTCCCTTTCACCCCACTAATGGTCACAGAAATTGACCCAGTACATTTCTGTGCTGATCCAGAATAGTGTTCATTATATTGCCTTCAGAGAAACAACATCTATTACATAGTTCTAGAAAAAGAACTTTTTATATACTTATTAACACTGTTTGACCCAGATCACCATCATACAGGGGAGGAACAGGGAGTCTGGATAAATAGAAAGCCAGAGAGCTGGTGAGCGAATGAGGAATGGACAGTAACTGGAAGGATAATGAAAGAAGAGATGCTGTGCAAGTCATAATTATCATCCTTCTACATGAGTCAGCCCAGAGCTGACACTGCCTTAAGGGGTCTTCTGTTCTTGAAGACTCGCTAAATGAAGCTAGTTGGCTCAAAAAGTAATGATTGTGTAAATGTTGGTCTGGGATTTTGATTGGGGTACATAAAATGAAAATTCACACTCAAGCTATACTGATATCTGCTTTCTCTTCTGCCCTCCTTTATCATTTCTGCCTCTGTCCGCCTCCTCCCTTCTCCCCACCATAACCCATTTATCTCTGCCTCCCTGCTTCCCTACGCCCTCGTTGCACCTCTTCTCTCGCATAGCGGTCTGAACTTGGCACCAGTGGCTCGGCTGCGCAGCTCATGGGAAAAATTGCCCAGTAAATACGAGAAGCTGTTTGTGGACCTGCAGGACATCTTCGACCCGTCCAGGAACATGGCCAAGTACCGCAATGTCCTGAGCAGCCAGAGCATGCAGCCACCCATCATCCCACTTTTCCCAGTGATCAAGAAGGACCTCACCTTCTTACATGAAGGTAAATGGCTTTGTAGAAAGCATGTGCTTTTTTTTTTTTTTGCTTATTCACATTTTGCCTTCATACATCATCTTTATGTGTCTCAAAGAGGCTGAACAGAGAAACAGGTCATTTCTGAAGGTTGACATGTCGTGTTCAGGTTGACATTCCCCATTTCCTCTATTTTGTGCTTAAGATCAAACTGGGCCTCACTCGAGAGGTTTACTTCTGCTAAAGACTTCCTCATCTTGCCTTTTTTACCATATCTCACCGAGCCATGTCAAAACTAGACAAATCTGACTTCTCCTCAGAGGTTTTGTCTTATAAAATCTTTTTATGGCCATGTCAGGAAAAGTCCTCTATTGTGCAAGCTGCAAAAATTCTCAGATGGCCTAGTGTGACTCAGCATGAAAGAAAGACACCACTTTGATCTCCTGGAGCAAGCAGTGATGACAGAGAGCCCAGAACAAGGACATGTTTACTTTGAACATTTGTCATAGATCGCATCCTGCAAATGTCCCAAAATATGAATCATTTTTCTCTTTTCTAGTGTTGACAGCTGACGTCACACTTACTTCTGTGCACGTATCTCTGTGTTTGTGTCTACTTGTGTTCGCCCTCCCAGGTAATGACTCCAGGGTCGACGGCCTTGTGAACTTTGAGAAGCTGAGGATGATCGCCAAGGAGATCAGACATGTAGTGCGGATGACCTCGGCCAACATGGACCCCGCCCTCATGTTCAGACAGAGGTTAGTTGTTCTGATGCCACAACTCCTAAAAGCCTTTTCTTTTTGAGATTTACTTTGCTTTAACTGCTGGTGTTGGAGCCAGATACAAGTCTCTTAAAGCTGTTTTAGTTTGCTGGTAATACAGTTAATGCCTCTGTGCGTAGTTCTTTTGGTGGCTTGAGATAATTTTTTTCTTCAAGCCTATTCATTCGTACTGTTCCCCTACATGAGGGCTTTAATTATCAGTATCATCGAAGTGTCGCATCCAA